ACAATACTGTAGTCTATTAAGTGTGCAATTTGGCATTGTCTAAAAAAACCTAATACGTATGTATATATATGGTATATACATGGTATATATATGTATATATATGGTGTGTGTGGGTGTGTGTATATATATATATATATACCATCATTAAATGTGACAGACAGGAAGTGAGCATACGCTGCTGGGAAAAAGTGGCGCCCACAGCCTTTCTCCACACAAAGTTGTCATAAACCTTCAATTTGTTTTTTAAAAAATAAAATAGGCAAGGCATGATAAAATGACTTGCAGTGAAGTCTAGGTATGATTGTTTGCCCAAGTGCAACTCTGAGGGATCTCCTAACTTTCCCAGTCTCCTCCTATAGGCCAGGTGTTCAACAGCAAGTCTGCTCACTGGCTTCTGGCCTTACTCGGAATTTAATCAGTGAACTCCAGCACTGGGATTTTCTTTTTTCTTCCTTAATTCTCACCTTCTGCTCTAATCCCTGGAATTGAATGTGTCATGTTTCTTTATGCCTTATACTTTCATTTCCATAGTCTTCCTGATTGAATTCTGTTCCTGAAACCAAAGTCTTCATTTTGGATCTTGGTTTCCAGATTCTCAAATCTTCTCTGCCCACATCTCTACTTTTTATGATCATTCCCTCCAAGACAGACAATTCCACTACCTTTTGCCCATATTCCCCCAATTAAATCCCAGTGAAAAACAACCAAGAACTCATGAATACATATATATTTATTTATTTCATAATATAGCATTTTGGATGGGCTGGGATATTTTTGAGGGATGAGGCTGTGTAATTCGCAGATGCTCAGATTTGTCACTAGGAGAGACACTGGTGGTCTGAAACTCCTGGTACAAATAAGCCTGGGGTAAAGCATTTGATAAAAAATAGTCCAACCATAGTCTAATAAATATTCTTAGCCCATAATAACACAGCACATGTCTGAAGCCAGCAAACCAAACCATAAAAGGCAGTTTCACCTAACCTGATGGCAGTCAGCCTGGTCAACCTGGAATACACAGCCAAATATAGCCCAATGGTTCTGAGGGTGCAAGTGGCTCCAGGAATTGAAATAATTGCAGGAGTGATTCTTATCTATCAGCCTCACCTTCTCCATTCTGTGGAGGAAAGTGTATCAAATATTTGACGTGAGCTTATCAAAAAGTCCATCCATGGATTGCTCCATCCAGGTAGTCATATATAAATATGTAAACCATGGAAGTGTAGAAAATTCACCTAGTGTATTTTAGCTGAAAAGAACATAAGTGATCTTGCTGTAATCTGAATTTCACTGCATCCAAATTTACACAATGGAATTACATGATAAAAATACATCCAGATGCAGTTACTCTTACTTACAAGTAGGCAGAATTTCAATGTGACATTAAAATTTCTTTCATAATCTTAAAACAGGTTTGATTTTATTTTTGATTATTTTTGTGCTTTCTTCAATAAGATCATATAAAAAGTGGAAACAAGCATCAATTGCAGATAGAACGAAAACATTTTTAGCAGAAAAGATTTTAGGAGAACAGATTGAGCAGAGCAACAACAACAAAAATTTATGGTGTCACCTTCCCCAGGATGTTAAATACAGGTCCTATTCCCTTTGCCCAGCTGTGTTTAGGCAGAGCTTGTCAACAACTTCTGTTAAGGTCCCTGGCAATGCCAGTATTCTGTGAAAGTCTCCTCTGAATACTCTGTTACCACGTTGTTTCTTGGAAAGCACTTTTCATTATTTGACTTAGAAACTTTATTGATTACCCCGAACCTAGTCTAATGTCCCAGTTTATTCAGTAGGCTTAGCTCTCAATGGTTTTTGCTTATAACCAAACCTTAAATTCACTTTCATCAAAGAAGGAAGTTGGAAAAGTTATTGAAAAGAATAGTGCCGCATGCTCCAGAAATTTCCCCAAAATAACTTCCAAAGAGTTTTTGAGGATGACAATGCTCATTTATATGAATGCATCCTGGGACATCTGTAAAATAATACCAATACAGACCCAGTAGAGAAGTAATCAAGCTTTTCTGCCTAGGAAGTAACAAATACCAGTATGGATATCAGAGTACAAGAAGGAAACTTTGATTATTCATTTGCTCATTCATACATTCATTCAATAAACATTAGCCAGGTGACTACTCTGCTCCACTCACTGTTCCAGATGTTAAAAATACAACAGAAGACATAGCTCCTGTCTTCAAGACATTCACAGTCTAGCAGGGAAGATGATTTTTATACATTAAACTTTTGCGTGCATCAGAATTACCTGGGGAGGTTGTTAAAAATATAACATTCTATCTGTGTGCCCAGATATTCTAATTAGGTAGATCAGGAATGGGGTCTAGGAATCAACCCTTTTAACAAACACCAAGTGATTCTAATATAGGTGGTCTGAGGACCACATTTTGGAAAAAAAAAACTGGTATACAATGTGATTATTGCTGAGAGAGGGGATGGTCAGGATGCCAGGGAAGCTCTGTAGAGAACCAAGGGGTTGGGCAACTAAGGAATCAGGAGCTCTGTAGAGAACAGCCTAGGAGGTCAGAAGCTAATCTGGCTGAGAGGGTTGGGGGCGAGAAAGGTAGTCCTGACTAAGAGTTCAAGTCTGGTGGGGAAATATAAGCATTATCCCAGGGCACTAACATCTAAAGGACACAAAAATGCATGGCCTGGGAGACCCAAGGAGAAGGTAAAGGAAACTGGACTGGGGCAGAGGTGGAATGTTCTGCCCTTACAGCATTCTCACACTATCCCATTAATGTAAGAATAATTTCTACTGTCCTCTCTGGGTCAAAGTTGTTAACAATGTATCTGTTCAGGCCCAGAGAACAACTTATGTGATTGAAGCCTGATTCTAGTAACCAGTGTGTGTGTGTGTGTGTATGGGTGAGTGGGGGGGACCAGCCAGGAGAAAAAGTTGGGAAAACAGAGACCTGAAAAGCCAAACCCAAAGTATGGGACCTTCTACTGAATATGCCATGGGAGTCCGTGAAAAGATTTATAAAGAAGAGGGTGACATCATTTATTTTGTTAAAGAATTTGGGGACAGGTCCTAGAGACCAGGGTGATTTAGAAGTGAAGGGCATACATTTTAAAGCACAGCCACACTGTATTGCGGCTGAGGTTGGGGCCCAAGAGGAGACTGATCTCTGTTGCGCTTACTAAATGCCAGGCACTATGCTAGGCAGTTTATATTGTTACATGTTCTCTTTTTTAATCTTTGTAACAGTCTTGTGAGGTAGGTTTTATTTCACAAAAGAGGAAACAGAGGCTCAGAGAAATGAAGTATTTGCCCTAGGTCACACAGCTAATAAATGGCAGAGGAACTACTATTATTTTAATCCAAAGGGTATGAGCTTTCCATTATAGGAAAGTATCTCCCAATACTACTGAATTTTACCGAGCTTGCTCATTTCCTGATTAGCAGTAAATAACATCTTTTTTTTTTTTAAACTGAAAAGCTGCCTTTGCTACTACATATGTAAGTTTAAGCCTGCCATCTGTATCTGTATCAGTCTTGTTTCCCTGTTGGGTAAACAAGCAATACATAACTGCTATTTAGGGAATTTAGTTCGATATTTTGTCCATATTATTACATAATGGTAGAGAACCATTGTAGGAACTGTGTTTTGTCAATATTTCAGCAGCAGTATGGTACCTGGCATCTAGTAGTTTGTTAAATGAATTGATAAATGAACACTCACTGGGGTGGCATAAACGAAGAAGGGAGAAAAGTTTTAGCATTGCTCCAGGGCTCTAATCCGGGGGCTTGTTATAGCTATCGCTTTATACAACAGAAATATTTTCACAATCCCCAAGGAGTTGACTCCTTGAAGCACACATAGCTCCTGGAAAGGAGCAAGCTCTGGTTCTGACACCCCCCACCCCTGCAGTGGAATTAAAAAAGCACAGACCATAAAGCAACTATAGCAGTCAAGACCGGTATGTAGTTTATGCCTGCATTTGCCATGAAGGGTTGGCGAAGTAGATGAATAGTGTAAACAAGATAGCAAGAGGAATGATTATTTAGCCTGTTTAATAAAACTGTTTTCAGGTATTCTTAAGCACTTCAGAAGTGTTTTACCTAAAATACAAGTATATTTATATGCAAATAGCTGTGGCATCTCTAACACTCCATTCTTACTGATTAAGTAAATAAACCAGGTTCCTAAAGAACCTCTTTTTTTGTTAACCTAGTTCTAGTAACTGTATGTACTTTAGGTAATAAACCTATATTTCTTTGAAATATTCTGTGGCAGATTTCTTAACAGTTCAGAAGAAACTCCACTGGTAGCATCAGTGGACGGTGTGCTATGTAGCAACTCATGTGCAACTTTGTCCCCAGTCTCCCCTTATTCAACCTGGTGCTCTTCCCACCATCTATGTCATTAGTGGACGTGCATGTGTATGTGACAGGAGCGAAGAAAGGGTGGATAAAGGGAGGGGTAGGAGAAATATTCACTGATGTTGATATCCCTCTGGGGGACAAAAACGGATGGTATCATTTATTTTCTCTTCCAGTATATTTCTCATTCGAATGAGCAAACTGAAAAGTTTATGTATATATAATTATAAAATGAATATATAACAGACCATTTATTCATTTTATGTTATATATACACATACATGTTTCCTTTATAATAAATCCTTGATTTCTATTATTTATCAAAAGCTACATGTAATATGTGATCATCTGACACTTCAAAATCCCACTTGGTTAGATTAGCCAGTACTAGAAAGGCAGATGCCTCCCTTTCACCTGGCTAGCTCCTTATTCAGAACATCTTTCTACATGATTTACTTAGAATTACCCTAATTCCTTCCAGCATTATATTCCTAAAGCACTGGGAATTTTTAATTTTCCAAGGAAAGGATGAATTCTCTAAACTTTTTCTTCAATGGCCTGAAACCAGACTACTCAGAGAATCTGTTCTGAGAAACTCGATGCATTAATTTAAATACAAGCTTTAATGCACAAAAATTAAATCTGTAATATCTAGTTATTTTGGATGCTTCAAATAAACTTTATTTTGTATCTCATATATTGAACACTAACTGAAGTTTAGGAGGGAAGAACTGCTGAACTGGAGAGCCAGTGAATTCTATGCTCTCTTGAAACTTAATGGCAAGCTTTCATCCCAGAAACATAAGGGGATTCTTGAGGCCTGCAGTTGCATTCCTGCCGCTCAGGGTAATCAATAAAATCTGGGGCAGGCAAGCCAGACAGGATCATTAGGGATTTGTTCCAGATTGTGAATGTTGGACAAACTGGAAGAATGAAGGTCACATCAAAAGTATGAAGATGGAGAGAGTTAGCTGGGTCATAGAAAGACAGCATGTTGTTGTCATAATCCAGAAGGACACCCAGGCGTTTCAACTGCGGGGGCACATCCACCAGCATTTCCTTGTTGTTATGTCTTACGACGAAGTTACTGTTGCATCGAGAGAAGACCCAAGAGGAGGCATTCTTGCCAATCCACTCATTCTTGGGAGCTGATTTGTAGGCAATACCAACTGCATACCTGTCACACAGCAGAAAGGAGAGAGAAATAAGCCTTATTAATGAGTTATGCTATCCAGCAGATAGAATATATCATAGAAAATATAGTTCTTATTTTTCATTTAGATCCAAAATACCAATATCATTAGAGTTTTAACAAGATAGCAATTAGGAGGATGTAATGATTTCAAACTTCTAGTCCAAAAGATTTCCCATGATTTTATTTTAAAAAGCTGACAGTTTTTTCTAGGACTGGTTTTCAACATGCCTTTTATCCTTGACTTATTGGTATTATATTTGTGCTACAGAATTGAATGTCCCAGGAACCTTACAAAGGGGAGAGAAGAGAAAAGAAAAAGTGGCATCTACTCACCATGTCGAGGAACCCATGACCACTTCCCAGTAGTGGCAGCCACTGTCAATGAATATATTTCCTGCTGCCCCATAACACCCTGTGCCACTAAACCTCTCTGGGGTATGACTCTTTTTCAGAGAGCTCTCATCCTTCTCCATCTGCAATCCATCATTAGAGATCTTCAACTTCTTGTGAGTCATTTTGGGATCCAGTTTAAAGGGTTGGCCTGAAAAAAGCAGAAAAAAGAAAACATATGAGGGATTAGTTACGACTTCTATCTTTGTTCTCCAGCACCCTCGTTAGCAGGAGGAGCCTTGATATGATGATCATTCCTGGGTCAGTACGAGTTGGCTGCTGCATGCATTATATTAAGGAAGCAGGCCAAATGCCACTATTTTTTTTTTTTTTTTCCACAGGTCCAACAAGTTCTTTAATCATCAAAGAAAGTCTGGAAAGAGGGCCTCCCTGATGATGCAAGGGGTTAAGTCTCAGCAATATGAAGCAATCTGCAGCCACTGCAGCATGAATTCGATCCCTGGCCTGGGAGCTGACCCACCCACTATTTTTGATCAAATAAGATTGAGCTGCCCCCTTCATATATTGTCAAATTAAAAAGGGGTTCTCAAGACCTCAGATTCTCCAAATATATACTTTTATACTTTGATTTGAGTGGGTGGATTGGGATTTGAGCAGATTTTAGGGTAAGGAGAACTTGAGGTACGACAAAGTGAGGGGAATTGATGAAGCAATTGCTGTTCGGTAACAGAACAAAAACAAACTGAGAAGAACTCAGCAATAGGACAATTTTTTACCCTCTTACAATGGAGTATATAAATAATATATAACTAGGAAACATCATTGGAGTCACTGCTGCATCATGAATGATCAGAGAAAACATTTGTTGTGGAGGATCATTCGTAACAGAGAATTCCTTAAAGCCGCATGGCAAAAGCAGTTACTAGAGGCCAACAGCTAGGTATGGCAAGAACTACTGTATTACACAAAATGCATCTGTGGCAAACACTGTTGGCACCCATCCCCAACTTTTTCATCTTTTACTCCCTTTCACTTGAGGCCAGAAAAGCTAAAGAGTCAAGCTCCCAGGCTCCCGATTGCTGGGTATAGCTAATGAGGTGGGGGCAGATGGGAGAAGTCAGACGGGGCAGAGGAAGCCTGTGGGAAAGTGCCAGTTTTCCTCATTAAAAGGAATAGCTATCATGTGTACCAAAACTGTTCCCCTTCTTCCTTTCTCGAAAGGAACTATAACATCGAGAGGCTGCTGTGGCCATGTGGCAATCAGCCAATACACAAGGGGAAGAGCCTGGGTCTTTACAACACAAAGCTGCAGCACCAGACCTGAGCTCCTTACCCTTCAAACTTCTTTGAACTTGAGAAAGAAAATGCTATTTGTTTAAGCTGCTAACAAATACTATCTCTAAAGCTGAGTTAGTTGGTTTTCTGTCACTTGTAGTCAGAAGCATTTCTAATAGGTGTCGCTTCTCTGTAGTAGGATTTTACCAGATTATCGCCCTAAGCATGGAGGTGGGGTGCAGAGAAAAACTCTTCATTAATACCCTCCCAACTCACCAACAATATGTTTTATGTATATCACTGTGTCCACATATATCCCAGGGGCAGAAACATACCCCTTACCCAAAATGTGAACTACACCAGCAAAGCTTTTCTAGCCAGGGCCTCTACTCTCCTGCCCTGCAGTGGGTGCTTGGTGAACTCCCTGACATGGAGGAGAAACTGATTGCTTCTTTTTGAATCATCACAACGTACTGTTTGTTTTTAGTCGGGTAGGTTCACTGTTCCGGCTGCCTGCTTGGTTTATGGCTTTAACAATGAAGATGTAGCGCGTCCCACTCTGCAGTCCATGAACTGTGTAATGGTTCTGTTTAATGTTGGGCACAATCATCCAGCTATCCACTGAATTATACAGGCCTGTGACGTGTGGAAAGACAAGAACATTAACCAGTAGGTAATGGAGACGGGATGAGAAGCACAGTCAAAATTCATCAAGAGCTGCCCTCCCCCCAAAAATGTAAATTTCATTTTGTTTCTTAATCCTGGAAGACATAGTTTCATTTCTCCCACAGAGCTAGGCTTACACCAGGCTCCTTGCTTCTGGCAATTGAATGTTACCACTAGCAAAGGTTAGGATACTTCAATTTTCTTCCAAATAATACAAGAATGGTCACCATACAAAAATCACAGAATCATTACTTTTATGGGATCCCTAGATCTTTAACCCAATAGTCCAATCCTCTGAGAGCTGAGAGCCTGGCCTGGGATGGATGGAGAAGTTCTGCACAAAGCACAGGAACATGGAATCTCAGGGTCCAGAGGACCCCTAGACAACATAGTTCCCTCATTTCACAAATGGAAAACAAAGATCCAGAGAAGAAAAGCGACTTGCCCAAGGTCACAAATAGCTGGTGATGGTGCTAAGAACCCTGGTCTCTAATCCTACTCCAGTGTACTCTCCACTGCATCACTAGTCATGGGATGAGCAACAATATTCCTGTCTCTACAACATAGAAAAGCTTTCAAGGCTTATGACTAAACTCTCCTACCTTCTCCTCACCTTCACTTTCAAAACTAGGGCTCCAAGGTATCATGGGGAAGTCAAGGAGATGACATTATAATCAAAGTGAAAAAGCATCTCCTCACTTAACACTACAGTTTCACCCCTTTCTGACTCTGATTCCAGTACTCATTCAAGATTGGATGATCCAACAACACATTGTTATCTGGAACCTTCTTGCCTCCCAAGTAGGGAAAGGGACTAGAAATGTAGGCTTCTGCTTTTGAAACTCTTTAGACCGTAAGTATTTACTTAGGGAAAAATGTATATAATTAAAAACATGTACTTGGCTAACTTTTAGTAAAAACAGGTTCAACATTCTTGTCTATAGATTATCTAGACTTCTCTCTTCTGTTATTTGCTTCCTGGTCAGTTTACCACTTTTTTTTTTTTTTAATAAAGATTTATTTATTTATTTATTTATTTATTTATTTATTATTTTATACAAGCACTGGGTACAGTCAGAAGTGCGGGAGGGTGAGAGAATTCACCAGAGCCAGAGGGGAGAGCAGAGCAGGCAGAGTGACGAAATATACTGCTGAGGGGAGCAGCGGGCGGCAGGAGAGGTCTGCGCGCCATGTGGAACCCTCCTCCGGTGGCCAGGGAGCAGCCGGGGATCGAACCAGCGCTGCAGAGGCTGTGGGCAGCTTCGCAACCCAGTACTCAACCGCTGCGCCACCGGGGAGACCCAGTTTACCACTTTTTAAACACTTTGTACAGAGGGAGGAAAGAAATATAATTGGTCAATTTAGCAAGTTATGCAGCTGTGGTACAAAACTTAATGAGGTCAAAAATTAAAAATAGTAATTTTTATGTTAAAAAGTTCAAAGAGGTCAGATTAGGAAGGCTTTATAATTAATTTGGGTGGGAAGTGAAATTTTAATCCAAAGAGGAAATTACATGATCTTCCAGATATACTTCCAACAATACAAAACAAACAAACTGAAAGGCAAATTTCACAATGAAATACTATGCAGTTGAAAAAAATGAATGGGAAAGGTCTCCATTAACTGACATGGCATGATTTCCAGAGTAAATTGCAAAAGACATTTATAGTATGGTACTATTTTTGCCAGAAATAAAGGCAAATAACAAATGGTACATATATTTACTTGGATTTCCAAAACAATAGCTACAGGAAGGGAAAATCAGAAATTAATGAAGTTTGGTATCTATAAGGGGTGAGGGTGGGGGAAAGGGATTAAAAGGACATGAGAGAGAATGACAATTCTCTGAGTACACCCTTTTTCTATAGTGTTCTATTTTGGAAATTCAGAACATTAAAATGAAATCAATATGAATGAGAAGAGTGGGAACAAAAATTGAAGACAAACCAAAACATATGAACTCAACTACATTTCAAATGAAAAACCAACCACACCAAAGGCATGAGGGCAGGGGTAGAATGGCAAACAAATCCTGAACCATTGTTTGTTTTTGTAGTGGTATGGGCAAAACGATTATGTAATGATTTTAGATATATGATGGGATTGAGCAAATGAGTACATACATTGATGCTGTTATCAGGGTTCTCACTGTGGAAGTAGGAACATTCAAATATAGAATGAAAGAAGGCAAGAAAGAATCTGTGGGGAATATATTGAGATTGGGGATATTGGTATGAACCCATGATTTCTAACATACCATAGATAGTGTATGCACACACATATATGTGCACATATTAAGTATGTATGAATGTATATGTGTGTGTCTATGGGTACATGTGTCTATGTGTGGTATCCAGGCCTTGGTCTCTAATACCATGCTCTCACTAAAAAGAACTAGGGCTACTTGGAAAAATGGCTGATTTCAAGGCTAGGGCATGGTAAGATAAACATGATCCTAGACCCTTTTCTTACTCTCAAAATTAAGGATGGACAGACATGCATAAGAAAATGATGGGAGAATATAAAGAACCAAGAGTCAGCTTGAAAGGCTCCCACTGGCTAAATCTGGCCAATTTAAGCACTAAGATAAGTAAGGACAGTAAAGTATAAACTTTTGAAAAAAAAAGAATTTATGACTATAAATAGATAATACATAGATAAATAAATACACATATAAATGGAGGTTGGGGCTCTTGTTTACAGTGGAATGCTGGTGTGCCAACTTGAAAATGTGGGAGGGCATACTCCATTGGAAAACCATTTTTCAATCATCACAGTAAACATTGGATCCAACAAGAATTATCAATTAATACTGAAACATGAGTGGGAGTGGGATGCATTTGATGAGGGTGCATTCATGGACTTAAAGTTGCACTCAATAGATTACTTTGCATAGATTTCTAACTCAGTTGCAAAAAAATAAATAGTAACCACACAATAAAGAAATCAGGCAGCATCTTTCACCAAAATCAAAATCAGCATCACCAACCAAGAGCAAGAGGGTACTGTGTGTCTCCAGATATGATGCCCTAAGGAGGACACAACATCTCTTATTTACCATTCCAGTCATGAATGCATAATCTGAATAGAATCATGAGGAAACATCAGACAAACTCAAAGTAAGGAATAATATAATTGAAATGAAAAAGCACTTTTAAAAATGTCAATGGCATTGAAAGTTTTTGGTTAACAAAGGCCAGAGATATGTCAGTTAAGGACAATACCTGATCCTAGACTTTAAAAAGCACAACACTGGGTCCTTTACATGTTATAAAGTATGTTATTGGGTCCAGTGTCAAAACTGAAATATGAATGATAGATTAAAGTATTGTAGCAGCATAAGTTTCTTATATTTGGTAACTATTGTGTGGTGTTTTAGGATAATTTCTTTATTCTTAGGAAACATACAGTGAAGAATTTAGGGGTGGAAGGTCATGATGGATATGATTTGCTGTCAAATGGGTCAAAAAAATAGAGAGAGATAGAGTTAGCAAATGACAAAGGAAATGGAGCAAATATTAACAATGGATGAATTTGGCAAAGAGTATGGGTGTTCCCTGTGCTAGTCTTGCAGCTTTTCTGTAATTCTGAAATCATTTTCACCTAAAATTATCTGAATGACTGACATGTAAAAAATTGGACTAAGTTTCTTAGTGAAGCACAAAAGGCCTGGACTAGCGCTAACTGGTAGTTGTGGTTTAATTCAAGGAGCATTAAGCTTGAAGTATGACATTTGACAGGCTTGGATTCAAACTTTACTTCCTCAGTTTGTAGCTCTGTGACCTTGGGCAACTCAACTAACTTGAGCCTCAGTTTCTTCATATATAAAATGGAAATATCATCACCTATTTCATAAGGCTAAGTAAGAACTCAAGGGGAATAAATGAGGTCATGTATGTGGGAATGTTTGTAAGTGGCAAAGAAAATTATTATAATTATTATAGTCATTCAATTATTTTTGCAAATTATTTTGGTCATTATTTATTAGAAATAAGAATTAGGGCTTTTATACAGAAGGACTGATTATTATTTATAGCTGCACAACAGTTTAATGGGCTCTTTTGTTAGAAGTGAGCACCCCATCACTGGAAATATTCAATGAGAGAAAGGATAATCATCTACCTATGAGGTGTCTGGTAGAAGGGTAGGTTAGATTAGGTAACTTCTAAGGTTACTTCCAATTCGAAGATGCTATCTTATCACCATGAAGAATTTTCCTTTTAGCTCTTCCTTACAGAGGACTACACATCCTTGGAAATAGAGGTGACCACCTATAAATCTTTGTCACTTCTTGCACTTATTCTCAACATTCAGGAGACCACTGCTCTCCCCATATCAGGAAAGAAAAGCACAGATTCTGGCTCTAAGACCTTCCAGAGCAGGAGAGATAAGTGCAGACAAATATGTTGGGGAAACCTTAGAATTGTGACTTCACAACATGAAGAAACACCTAGGAACACAGCTACCCGGGCCAAGTGGCTTAGGTTGGAGCTGCACGAGGCAAGTGTTTTTTTTAGAGTTTGACCCCAAATGTCCTCTCCCCTCCCCACCCAACCATGTGGCTCAGAATTGTCACGGAACAGGAAAAGGAAGTCTATCAGGAGGGTTTTGTTGGAAAAAGTCCTCTCATGCAGGCCTGTGACATCAGACACAGAAGCACAAACACAAAGGTAAAAGAATATGTTGATCCGCAGCTATGCAGATGCAACCTTAGGGTGGGAATGAGTTCAAGTCTTGAATCCAGCTTTAATTCTGATTCACTTCCATTTTTACCCAGCTCATTGAGGAGAATTTGCAGCTCGGCCCCTCTTGTCCCGCAATCGAAGAGTTCCTACTGTGCCTTGTGTTGCTCCAATTTATCGGAAGGTAAAACTACAACACGTGAGCTAAATGACTCCTTTTTGAACATGTTTCGTTTTGTGGCCCCTGACACATTTTTATATTCTGCGCAATTTTTGAAGGAAGCAGAGATGGGATACAGGGAAGAGTGACAGAAGCAGGAGACTTGTCACTATATTCACTGATACAAATAGGTGGAGTAAAGGAAGTAGTAGCCTGAACGTAATGTGTTTTGCCATGATAATGAGGTGGAAGGTCAAGCAGAGAGATGTTCACACACATAGAATCAGCAATGATGGTGGCTTAGCTACCCAGGAATGAATTCTGAGTTGTGTTCTGCCTTGGGAGAGGGGAGTGACATGGATTGAAGAAAATATAAGATTTACATACAGAAATGGGAGTGGCCCCAGTGACTGCCCAGCAAGGAAATACACAGCTTGATTGTCAGCCCATCAGTAAGGATTTTGCAATGCCCTGAGGGAGCTTACACTGTCTATGAAACACCTAACATGTCTTACAAACACTTGCCTCGTGGAGCCCCGGCCAATCTTGAGCAGCTTACTGCTTCCTTACATTTCCTTATCTCTGGCCACAGGCCCCAACTACACCATGACTTACTGATGAAGTTAGCCTGGCCAGTGAATATGGTGTACTGAAGCTCATAGGAGCTGATGCTGAACTCATCATCCGAGATCCAGTGGACTGTAATGGTGTCATGGGAGGCAGTACAGAGTTCCTCTCGGATAGATGGTGGGTTTGGGGCTGTAAGGAAAGGTAGAGAAAAAAGTAAGGAAAGCACACTTTCTGTTCCGGAATTTTACAATCGTTGCTCTTGCTGCCCAACCCAACATCTTGTAGAAAGGAGCTTTTCTTGATAAGAAGCTTTAGCTTGTATATACCACACAACATGAAGCAAAGTGCTGAGACCTCAAGTTCCCTCAAGCCACATTTGTTTCAACGATGAAGATATTTTAGGCAAAGAAGTATGCGTAAGTTATTGAGATGATTGCCCCATTGGCTACTCTGCCTACATAAACATACACATAGCTACTAGAGCAGTGGTCACATGGTTTTCTTATTAAATGATCCTCAACCTATTTTTATTTCAAAATAAGCTTTTTATACATTTTTAGCAGTATAGTCAAATGCAAATGAGTTTCCTCCTCTATAAATAGAATGATCATTATCCCATAGATTTATTGTGAGGATTCATGTTAAAAAATTAATATAGTTTGGTAGAAAGTAGATGTTCAACAAATGGCAGCCATTTTAATATATTAACAAAAGTAGTTACAAATATAACATGGCTGTATATGTATATTTTTTCTCATAAAATGGTAATTCACAGCATTTTTAACAGGTTGGTTGCATCCCTCATTTTCTAAAATTGTACACAAGCCAAATATTTTTTACATTTTTCTTCCTAATCTGCTAATTCTTAAGTTTTCTTAAAAACATGTGAATGGTAATTACTCATGTGGGATATTCTCTGATATTCCCTAATTGCCACATGTGTTCTAGCCACACAAAAAGTAAAAACATATTGATGATAGATTCATAAGGGGAAATCCATCAATAACTTGTTTTTTACATTTTAGTACAGATAGTGTACCCATCCTGCACCCAGAAATATTTGACAAATCATCTTTCTTTTCCATTCCATGAGCTAATATATTTTCTATCTAAAAAATAGATGTCGTTTTAAAGGTTATAAGAGCATTTTCATTATACATATTTTCTCTTCCAGATTAACAGAGAAGCACACTAAAAGATTAGGGGGCTCCCTGGTAGCAGAAGGGGTTAAGTCTCAGCACTGTGAAGCTATCGGCAGCAACTACAGCATGAGTTCGATCCCCGGCCAAGGAACTAACCCACAGAGTACAGTAGGCCTCTCCTGTCTTGCCTGCTGCTCCCCACAGCAGTGTATTTCAGCAATCCGCCTGTCCTATTCCCCACTCTGTCTCTGGTGAATCCTCTCACCCCCACCCCGCATCTCTGTCCTAGACCCCAGATCTTGTATGCATAAATAAATAAAATATATCCTTTTTAAAAAAAAAGATAAGGATTAAAGTGTTAAGGAAAGCAAGTAGTTTCACACCTGTTAAATAATCTAGCCCCTCCAGAAGTTTCTTTTCTCTGGAAAAATCTAAAGCAAAGTTTTCAAAGGCATCATTAAAATTGATGTCTGGAATCAAAACTTGAGAAGATGCAGTTGCCATAGCCACCCTGGAAAAGAGAAAAGTACATCAATATACTTCAAAATAAGTTGACAACCTTTATCCAGTGTTCGATTTCTAGCTTAACAAGGTGGAAATAAACAACTTGTAGAGCTCGATATATTAACTGAAAAATATCGTATCTGCGCTTTTTCAGTAGAAACCATTCATATTTTCATCACCAGGAACCAATTAAGAGTTATGCCATATTTATTCACATATGTTCACCCCTCAAACATACTCCCCCATCCTGTCTTAATTTTGAGAAGTAAATACAGAATTTTTTCCCCTCTGCATCATTTTCCATCTGGCAGGCAGTATCAACAGTAGACCTCTGAAGGCTTAGGCTTTGTAAGAGCAATTTGAGAGATTCTTTTTCTCCCCCCTCTATTTTTCTTATGCCAAACAACAAGCCATACTGAGGCTGGGTTAAAACCTTCCCCTAAATTTTGTACTTTATTTGATCACTTATAACACATTTTTAATTTTATTTCCTAGTTGCAGATAGTGCTATTCCAGATCATTCTAAATATCTCAATGAGAGCAGGTTCATATTTTGTACCTCTTATCTTCCATGGTCCTTAAGACAGTGTTGTACACATGGTGATAAAATTAAATGATGAATGGGTAACTCAACAACACAACTGGAAATTGAGCACTTAGTATATACAAGGTAGTATACATATACGTTACATGTATTATCTAATTTACTCCTTACCATAAGCCTATGTAGTAGATGGTCTTTCGATTTTATTTGTTTCTTGTTTTTAAACATTCTTGTTTATTTATTCACAATATAGGATATGTCCCCTCAGGTACAATCATCATAGTTTTCCCACCACCAAAGTGCCCACAGTTGTTCTTTCCATTTAATAAATGAAAAACTTGACAAAAAGAAAGGTTAGTAACATGCCCAAGGTCACACAATGAGCAAGGATCAGAAATATAGCTGAACCTGTGTTCATCAGGTTCTAAACACTGTACCTTTAATAAAAACAATTAAAGCATATTTTGTACACTTTGCCAATTCTCAACCATGGTTACACATCGGAATGATCTCAAAGCTCTCTGACTGAAACACACACACTTAGGTCCTGTGTCAGACCTTCTGAATCAGTTAATGAAAATCCTTGGGCATGCAAATAGCAGGATGGAAAGAAACATTAATATGGCAATAAAATACAGTTCGAGGGGAGAAAGGAGGATCGAATATAGGAAGACGAGATAGAAAATTTTTATGGCGAATTAGTTTAAGGGGATGGGGTGTTAAACATTTATCTTTAGGCACGTGCACCCTGCTATACATCTAACAATAATAGTTCTTGGCTCTTTCTGAAATTACAGATGTTTCAGTAATAAACTGCAGGCTAGGATCAAGAAATGTAAGACTAACTTAGTATGATATTAAGGTCTCTCACCAAGTGGCCAAACTTCTAAGATTTCATAAGTAAGAAGACAACAAGATCTAAGAGTTAGGGCAGAAAATTGGCATGTGGAATTTCTTCCTGGACTCCTCAATGTTTCTTCCTTTCCTCCCACTCATCCACCCACCCGTCCACCCAATACTTGGTAAGCACAACTAATGTGCCAATCACTGTGTTAGGCACAGGAGACATACAGGGAAAACATGGTAGTTGTAGTCCTTGCCCTTACAAATTGTGGAGAAGAGAGACATAAACTAGGCAAAAGAAGTATGCCTACAAAGAGAGTGGATCACACATAAGTATCACCTGGTAGGGACTTGAGTGCTAAGGGAGAGCTCCCTGGAGGAAGTTCTTTGTAAGCAATCGCCTAGACAGTGAGCAGGAACTAGCTAAACAAGAACTGTGTGAAGACTGGAGAGTTAAACAAATTCACTCAGGGCCTTGTAGGCCATGTTACAAACTTTATTCTAAAAGCAATGGGAGTCAATGAAGTGTTTTAAGCAGAGGAGTCATATGCTCAAATTTAATTTCTAGAAGAGTACTCCAGTTGTAGTAGATGAACTAGAAGGCACCAAAACTGGAGGGAGATCTGATTTTAGGTGTCTAGGGATGATCAGAAAGGATAGTTGTGACAGGAATGTAGACAAATAAAACAGAATATTAATTCTAAAATCAAATATTCAAATATATTTAAAAAGTTCAACTACATGAGAAGTCAAAGAAATTTAAAATGAGACAGCATTTAGGTTATAAAATAGACAATATGTAAGAGCTTTTATGCATAAATTGTATAGTGCTTACATATTTTATAAGGGCTGAAATTGACAAATTTTGGAAGCCAACTTAGCATTAAATATCAAAATAGCTTAAAATGAAGTATTCTTTGACACCACAGCCCTATTTCATGAAATTTTTACTAAGGCAATAACTTGAGAAGTATGCAAAGACACAACTACAATGCCATTCAACACACTCTATGTAACCTAACTGTTCATGAGGACAAAGCTAAGCAATGTGTTATACATCAAAAGATGAAATATAATGAGGTCATTGGAAATCCAATTTTATAATAACATTCAATGACAGAAGAAAGTTCATGATATATAGTTAAGTTTCAAATGCAATATATAGAGAATGACCTTATGTTTGTGAATATAGATATACATCTATATATACATATATATTTGGGATTATTATAGATAATGTACTACACATTTTATGTATCATATAAATTTTATATTTACCATATATATTTTATATGCTCAAATGCTAACAATAGCTGTATGCTTAAGAATGAGTTTTAAATGACTTTGGGGTATATGTGAGTGTGAGTGTGTGTGTCGCCGTATTTAAGCAAAACACATTAACAATCTCAGACTATGACCTCTATTAAGGACAGTATAATGAATGTCATTTATAAGAGGAAATACTTCCCAGCTAAAATTCCATTTTAACTGACGTTTTCATCCTTAACACTACAATGAAAAATGGTGAGGAAAAATGTTAGTCCATATAAGAGACCAGTGAGAAAAACACAGATTGTGTAGGTGATTCTCAAGCCATACCACATATACCCATCTATTCCACTTACATTATAGGCTATAGCTGAGCCTTTGAAAAGTTTTATTTAGAGAGTTGGGAATCATGAGCATCTATATGGTAACTGAAGCACTGGGAGCTAATAAGTTTGCAACAGGGAGAATGTATAATGAGAGGAGAGAATAGCCTAAGACAAAATTATGAAGCATTAAAATAATAGATGGAGGGAGAGTTGCTCACAAAAGCAAAAGAAGTAAGAGGTAGAAAGAAATCCGACCATGTTCATGGTAGCTAAAAGCAGAGAAATTTCAAGTAAAAATGCTCAGTAGGGAGAAATGCTAGTGAGAGATTAAGTAAAAGAAACAATAAGATAAAACAAAGAAAGGTTTATTATATTTAGCAACATGATATTCATTTGGTGACCTTGAAAAGAACATTTTCGATAGTGTGGTAGTGGGAGAAGACATTTCAAAGGATTGAAGAGTTGAGTGAGGATAATTAAATACAACGGTTCAAATATTTGTTTTATCTCTGTTCTGATGAAATCCTCCTGAAATGACAGTTACAGAATAAAAAGTCATAGACCCATAAGGACAAAGAGGATGGAAAAAGAGATGCCAGCAAGTAAGAGGCTGTCAATGAATGCTTAGAAGCTGGAAAGGGATGGATGAGTGGTAAGCAACAACAGGCCAGAGAAAGCTAGATCAGGAAGCCAATCATCAAGCTGATGTAGTGCCACAGACAACTGAACATTTGCACAAGGAACAGCTACAGTCCAGATCCACTCAATCCACTCAATCCAGATCCACCCCTCTCCCATCCTGGCAACAGATGTGAGCTTTGGCACTATGCTAAAAGAAGTCTTCAGACTCTCAGTTCCCTTGCCCTGCCTGGTTCCCAGAATGCTGGCAGTCAGGCTTATATATATTCTTTATACTGCCAGAAGCAGGAGATTGCTGGATTCTTTTAAGGGGAAACTGACCTAAGTGAAAACACCTACAGAAATGACACTTCGGGTCCCCTGAATAAAAATCTGGCATTTTGCCTTAAATCCTATAGGACGTTGCAAATTAACAAACTGTCCCAGCCCCTAAGATCTTCAGTCACCTTTTAGTGTTTAAATACAAACAGGCAGACAAAAGCTTACCAGACATTTAGGGAAAGACAGAAACTAAAACGAACAGAAAGGAAAGTTGGAGAAAATCAAGACAGTGCAGATTTGAGGAGAAAACTTGGGAAGTGGTAATTAATACCCTCAGTAAGATAAAAAAATGCTTTGTACCCACAAAGCAAGGATAGAATAATAAAAAGAAAAGCAAGGACAGAAAGATAAAAAGAAGCAAAAGATGGTGAAAAGGAACAAACTTCCGGTTATAAGATAAATACTAGGGAGGTAAGTACAGCTTACCTCACTATGCTGTGTGACAGACAGGAAAGCTAAGAGAATAAATCCTAAAAGTTCTCGTCACAAAGAAGAATGTTTTCCTTTCTTCCTTCTTTTTAAATTATATCTATATGAAATGGAGTTTAGCTTAATCAAACCATCAAATTGTATACCTTAAACTTATATAATAATGTCAATTATAGCAGAACAAAAGTGGAAAAAACAGAAAAAGATTTTAAAATGTGATAAGCCATTGATAGAGTCATGGGATCGTAAAGTAAGTTAGACATTTATAACTTCACTGTAAATTACTAGTTTTATTTCTTTAAGGAGAAAAAATGGTAATTTAGTTCATAAATCATAGTGGCTTATGTCAACATTGTAAATATAGCATGTTAAAATATTAGGCATTATTACTTAACTATACTTCTATATAATTAATGTATCAAATAACATGAATCTTCAAATACTAGAAATCTTCAGTTTTTAATGACTTATTTTAGGAATACTAAGACATCATTAAATGACCTTTCTAGACTGTAATGTAACATCGAAAACATGCTTAGCTGACACATTAGTTGCTGACTATGACCCTTTTTAAGTAAGCCTTTTGTGTACATGGGTTTTAATTTTTCATGAATAAATCCTTAAGACAATCCCTAGGAGAGCCCTCGGATAAAAAAGTAGATATATGTTGAACTTAATAAACTCCTGCCAAATCTTTTTCCAAAATGATTTTTCATTCCCACCAGTAATATGTGAAAATTCCAGTTGCTTAATATCCTCACCAACAGATTAGATGATGTCAGTCTTTTTAATTTTAGCTATTACAACTATGCCATCCAGCTAGGGTCAGAATTAGGGTTTTAATTTTACAACTACTAGTTGGTGGTATCTCATAATGATTTCAGTTTTCCTTGATGACTAATGATGTTGGTGCAATTTTTTAAATTGCCCCTGTACATACAATCTAAGATAGTATTATATATATATATATATTTTTTAAATATTGAAGGCCTTGCATATAAAATCAAAAGACCTAACCTCTGTAAGTATGTATGTTTTTCTTTCTTTATTGTATTATTAGTAGCAATAATAAGCCTCCTTCTATGAGGAAACAAAATATAATTTAGAAAAATTGCACCTATGAAAAAGCAAAGATCAAGAAAATGCTCTTATAAATATGAATGCTGAATTTAAAAATGCAATAGAAAAACTGGATGAAAAAATAAGGAAACATCTTAGATAACAGAAACTGTATACTATCTACAAAGTCATAGAATATAGGAAACAAATGATATTAAAAATTAGAGGGAAAATCTAATATGTCCAGCATCTGACAAATTAGTCCCAGAAAGGAAAAATAAAGGGGAATAAATTATTAGCAAATAATACAAGAATGTTTCCCAGAACTACAAGTTACTAGTCTTCAGATTAAAAAGACCCACTAAGGGCACAAGATTCAAGATGTACCCAGATATAAGACACAACAAAATTCAAGATATACCCAGATATAAGACCTTAGAATTTCATATTAAAAAAATAGTTCATAGTCAAAAGAACAGGAATCACAATAAAAGTGGACTTCTCAACACAGCAGAAATTAGAAAACAATGGAGCCATGCCTTGCCCCTCTTCTCTCCCTTGAAAATTATAAAGGAAATTTATTTCTAACCTATCGAATGTGAAAATTAATTTTAAATAACTTTCCGGGAAAAAAATCTCAAAAATCCACTTCTCACATACTCTTTCCTAGGAAGCTTTGGGAAAATTTGCTCCAATAAAATTAACAGAGCAAATGGTGCATGAGGGGTTAATCAGGCAGAGATGGATGGAGTCCCTAATAAAGAGGACAAACTAAGATATTCAGGGAGACTAAGATGCCTGTACTTCACAGGGCAGAATACCCAAGAGGAGAAACCTGCACAGAGCATATTCTGGAGACTTTTAGAATGCTCCACTCTAATATTCAATAGAATACTGAGCAACACATGCAAAAAATTTCCCAGTGACAGGGAGTTGTAAAAATATATATATTAGAGAGAACAACTGCTGGTTCTCACACAGGGCCAGGAATAGTGACTCTTCCACCAGCCAGACTGGAAAATCTCATGCTTCATGGGGCACTGATTAAAGTACTCAAAAGGGTCTGCTTGAGTAGTAGGGAAAAATTCCCACTAGACTAAACACTGCTCTGATTCAACTGAACAAGTCATACAAGCAAGACCAGAAAATGAAGATTAAGCAATCTTCAAGTAATTTAACTGTGTCCCGAATATATGTAAGAATACAAAAATTATGTCATACAATATGATAATTTTTACAACATCTGGCATCCAATCAATATACCAGATATGCTCAAAATCCAATCTAATATACTAGACATGCAGAAGCAAAAAATATACCTCCTAAACTGAGAAAAGGCAACCTTGAAATTCACCCAGAACTGACCCAGATGTTAGAATTATCAGGCAAGAACATTTAAATAGTTCTAACTGTATTCCATATGTCCAGAAAGCTAGAGCAAACGCAAAATATGTTAAGAAGCTATATAGAAGATCTCCAAAGACCCAAATTTAACTTCTACAGATGAAAACGACAATATCTGAGATGAAAAATGGAGAGGTTAATAGCCGATTAGGCATTACTGAAGGAAATGGTAATGAACTTGAAGATATAGCATTAGAATCTAACAAAATGAAACAGAGGGGAAAAAAGACTAAAAAATGAACAAAACATCAGTGAATTGCAGGATGATCTCAAGCTGTATAATATAAATGTAGCTGGAGTGCCCATAAGAGAGGAAAGAGGCGCACTATTTACAATTTCCAAATTATAGAAACAAAGTGCCCAGAGACAGATGAGTGGATTAGGAAGATGTAGAGTATATGCACAGTGGACATTACTCAGCTATATAAAAAGATAAACTCTTACTATTTGCAATAACATGATGGAACTGGAGGAGATTCTGCTAAACAATAAGTCAAAAGGAAAAAAATATTGAATGGTGTCACTTACATGTGGGATATAGAGAAACGAAGTGTGAGTTACAGAAAAACTAACAACAAACCTTATAAACCTGGCTACAGAACTGAGATTACCAGAGGGGAGAGAAAAAAGGGGGGAAGGGGCATGATGGACTACAGTGGAGGACTATGAGTACCTTAGTGGCTGGATGTGGTATGGTAATATACACCTGAAATGTGTAATCTCATACCTCTAGATCATAGACAGTGTTGTACACCAATGCTACTATAATAAAAAAAAAAAAAAGAAAATTACCCAAAATAAATAAATAATGGCTGAAAATTTTCCGGATTTGCAAAATTCTACTGCTAATGTCTAAAACTGAAAAAATGCAATATAAGGATATTATTTAGAAATGGTCATGTTAATAAAAAAAATCAGCATACAGAGCAGAATTGCTTGCTTTGTTGTAAAAGTGTAGATGATAGTACTAGACTCCGTAAGTTTGAATTTTGCCTCTGTCCCTTACTAGTTGGGTGATTATAGGCAAGTTACTTAACCTCCCTGTGCCTCATTCACTCATTTGTAAAATAAAGATAGTGTCTATCTCATAAGATTTTGTGAGGATTAAATGAGTTATACTTCTAAAGGCTTAGAATAATACTCAGTACAAAACAAATGCTTATTATTATTATTATTATTATTATTATTGGAAAGCAGAATTTGGGGGTAAAAAGGAACTTGCTATTTTTTGCATTATGGCTATTAGAAATATTAATTTTCAACTTTGTACAAGTATAACTTTAATACAAATAACCTTTAAATATTTAAGAAGAGTAAATTGGAGATAAGGAAATGGAAAGCATCTTAAGATGTTACTGTAAAAGGAAGGAAAAGGATAGGGCTATAGCTAGAGGGGATATGAGACAGAGGAAAGTTATGGCAGTTATTTTTAGATAGGAGAAACGTGAGTGGGTTTAAAAGTGGATGGGAGGCCAACTACAGAAGGGGAGAAACTGAAGCCATGGGAAAAAGAGGCCATGCGGCCAAAGCACAAGTGAAGGGACATTTCTTCCATGATAACCAGAGGAAGGTGGTTGGGACAATGAGTAATTTATCATCTCATACCTACCATTCTGGAAAGAAGGTAAAGTCATTTGCTGAGCGTGAGTGGGATGGCAGCGCTGGAATTTGGAGGTGAGTACAGAAGGTCTGAAGTAGCCATTATGGAGGCAAGAAAAAAAGAAATAAGAAACCTGACCAAAGTATCCTGGAAGTATTTCAGCTCACTACTACTGAGAGCCCAGGTGAGGGTAGAAGTCAGAAGCCATAAATTTGTGGTGCAGTAGTACCACCCTCTTTGGTTATGCGATTTTTCTCCAGCAGGGTTCTGCAACTCAAATATAGACATGGAAAAGACAGGAATATCAAGACTGATTCAGGGTTGGGATTTTATCAGGTTGGTGTGATAGAAAGGACAATGGCATAAAGGAACTCATGCTACTGAAAAAGATTAGTTGAAGTGAAGACAGTAGGTAAAAATCTTTGTCAGTAAAAATCAGCACTTAGAGGTCCCAATGGAGTTGAAGAATAGATGTATTTGAAGAAAAACATATTTATAAATTCAGGGGTTGAAGTGAGAAAGTGGGAGGTTTTATTTATGATTTAAGTATAATTCTTTTGTGTTTTTTTATTGAGGTGACATTGATTTACAGTTCTGTATTTGATTTATTTAAGTGCAATTCTGGATGGTGAGGTTTAGCATGTGGGCCTTGGAAGTGGATAGATGAAGTGGAGCAGAGGTGAGGATCACTGGAGGAGGGGATGTCAAGGAGACTTGATGGCTACAGTATTAGGCATTAGCCATGTTAATGTTGCGAATGTCATGCAGAATGATGACAGAAACAACAGGAAGAAAGATTGAGACTCTAGAGCCAAAGTCTTCATCAAATGAAAGGGAGGTCAAATCTAGCCTAACAAGCCCCTATAATGCCTTGATGCCTTGGTGGCTTATGATGAACAATGTTCACTGTAGCCCTTTGATTATTTATGAATGGTGTATAGATGTGCTTCTAAGGATCTGTGAGTCCTTTGAAATTGTGTGCAAAATTACATGTGTACATATCTAATATGCAGTTTTTCCTTAGGAAGAGGGTTCATGACTTTAATCAAATTTTCAAAGGGGTAATGAACAAAATAAAATCTAAGAATGACGGCCCTAAAGATATATATGAGGAATAACTAAGTGAAAGCAACAGCAACTGCACGTAGACTTAGGAAGTGCACACATGTATCAATCTAGCCAATGTTTCTCTGTCCCTACACCAACACCAACATAGAAAGCTCCTGCCCTGAGTGGGCAGTAGAGAGCTGTGGCAAAGCTAGGGTACATGCATATCCCTGCATTAGAGCTGGTAGACTACAGAGAACAAAAAAAAAGGGTGCCAGAAATCCACAGGGCAATCTACCACTGAGGCTTAGTAATTACCTAGCTGGTTAAATCTTCAGGTGGCAACTGGTACACACATCTGACCAGAAAAATGTGACTTTATGTTGACTCCTTTTCATAAGAGCAGGTATGTCAAAAGAATATAAGGAACTCACCGCTCAGCAATATTTTTTGCAGACTGGAGAAACCGTGCCTGGTCATTTTCTTTCAGGATATGTTCAGCTTGGTTGATGAGGACCGTTGAACGTTCAAGACACTGGCGGCAATTAGCAACTTGCTGTGCCAACTTTCTCAGTTTCATAACCTTAAAGGAATTAGAAAAGACAAATAAGATAAAACATCCAGTGGTTAATTAAAAACGATAAAACAACAAGAAGAAGATCTGCTGCAGTGATTCTAAAAATAAGGCCTATTAATATCCCACAGTCCTGTACTAACCATTCACCTTCTCACCCTACCCTCTATGCCTGTCTTGCCAACCCTTCCTTCTGTTGCCTATCGTCCAATCGCTAATGCTGCAGCACACTTAATCACGTATTCTTGTTGGTTATCTACCTCCTCTTTTATTAATAACATTATTTTTTCTGATTATAACAGTAATGCATGCCGATTATAGAACATTTAGAAGATAAAAAGTATAAAAAGAAACCCTACTACCCCCGGAGATCATCTTGTTTACATTTTGTCAACGTATTTTCACATATATGCTTTTAAAAAATACTCCTTATCTTATAAGTATCTACATTTCAACATAGAGATTTCTCTTAGTTTCTTTATGCATCTGTGTGTTCACAGATCTGTGTTCTTGGAAATTTCAATTCCTGTGTTAGTTGGAACCAACCAACATGGCACACGAAGTCCTGTTCATCACCTCAGGCTGTCCTAACTCCTCACACTGCACACACAGCATGAGTTTATAATCACTACCCTGAGCAGCAGACCACCAAGCCTAAAGTCATACAGCATCATGGAGGCTCACACTTGACCTTCTTGGCCATGATTGTTCAGTTCCCAGGCTGGAAGCCTGGACATCTCTCTTTCCTTCATCTTTTATATCTAATCAGCCAATGGTTCTGATCATTTCCTTTCTAGCAATATCTATTCTGCACTTCCCTTCCATTTGGGCTGTTGATTTTCTGGCTTGATGCTTCATCTACCTCATAACTTGTTTCCCTGACTTCAGTATCATCCCATTCTGATATACTGTATAGACTTTTGCCATGTCAATGAGTGTTCGTCCTTCCTTAGAAATTAGAATAGTTTCCCAATGCCATTCATAGTAAGCTGAGAGTCCTTACACTGGCATTCATGGTCCTTCTACAATTCTGGCTCACCTTTCAACCATTTGTGTTTTTTTTTTTTTTTTAACTTTTTTCTTTTTGTATTATCTTATACATAGGAAAGCACCCAAATCTGAAGTGTATAACTCAATAATTTGGGGGGCATATACATAAATCAGATAACTACCAACAAGGTCAGATAAAGAATATTCCAACACCCCAGGAACACCATCATTTTTATTGTATTAATAGCACTAGGCCAAACATTGTTTCTTCTTTACCTCTCTCTCTCTCTACAACCTTACTTCTTGCTTCATGATCCAAGTGCAAACTTGAATCACTGGGATAAAACTTTGACATTTGTGGGCCTCCCTTGTGGTGCAAGGGGTTAAGGCTGCTATGCGCAGCCACTGCAGCACAAGTTCTATCCCCTGCCAGGGAGCTACCCACATGGCACAGCAGACCTCTCCTGACTCGCCTGCTGCTCCACTCAGCAGTGTATTTCAGTTGATCCACCTGTTTGCTCCCCACTCTGTCTCTGGTGAATCTGCTCATCTCCCACACCTCTGGCCTATACCCCAGTTCTTGTATGCATAAATAAATCAATCTTAAAAAAAAACAAAAATTTTGACATTTGTAAAGTCAAATCTGGCTTGGCATCACTGAAGCACTGGGCTTTACCTTTGTCTCTTTGATTTTGACAGCAATCATTTGCTTCCTCTGCTGGATGATCTCTACCAACTCGTCACATTCTTCCATAAGTTTTGCCTCATGCATAGCAGTATTCACCTGCCAAGAAAGTCCACAATATTATACAGTGATTGCTGCCTTTGTCCCCTGCTGGCTCTCAAAGGTTCGGACTGACAGCTAAGCATGCACAACTTCTTCCATACCTCCCTCATAAGATCCACTCCTAGAAGAAGGGTAGAGATGATGATATTAATGATGCAAGGGTATTGAAGCACCACAAATAGGAAGCTCTCCAGGCCTCTGGTAGATCATGATGGTTAATGGAAGCTGGGCAGAAGGACAGATGAGATGGGGGCATGTTACTCCCACTGCACAAGTCCCTTCATCCCAGAACCCTGTCCTCCTGCTGCTCTTTTGGGAAGAGGGTAAGGAAATTTAAGTATGTCAGGGAAAGAGGATCCCTCTCCACCGGCACAATAATATTAACATTGGAACAACATATCACTACCATCCTAATAAATTTGTTTTCAGTTTCCCTTGTTCCCTTCCAATTTTTAAACATATGAATGTGCTATTAAATATTCACATTAAATATATGCATGCACAGCTATAGTTTCACCTAATCACCATGTCTTAGTAGATATTTCTCACCTATGGCCATTCAGTATCTGAATACTTTTCCTACTTTGGGATACTGGCTCTATCAAAATATCTCCACTGTTAATTCAGAGTGGGATAAGGTTGAAAAAGCTACCATTTTTCATTGACTTTTCATGCACTGATTTCTCCTTTCCATTTCCACTACTATTGACATTACATGGCATGAAACCCCCAGAAGGGGCTAAAATGAGACCAGGGGATCTTTGGGATGCCCAAGCATAAAGGGAAAGAAAAGGAAACAAACATATAAAAAACAATTAATGTATGAAGTAATTTATAAATAGATTATTTCATTTAATTATCATATCTTTGTAATAGAAGGGCCATTTTTATTTGCATTTCAAAAATGGGGAAACTGAGGCTTTTAGTGACTTGCTCAGGAACACACAGCTAGTAAGCAGTAAAACCAGAATTCAAACCGAGTTCTGTCAAGTGAAACCCCTGGGCTGGCTGGGTGGGCAGGCGAGGTTCAGTTCCATTTCAGCAGCACACAGAGCAGTCACACAGGGAAGCACAATCATTCCAAGAGTCTATTCAAGGATCACTCGAGCAGAGCTCTAGAAGGCTGAGGAATAGACAATGGGTTACTTGAGAGCACCAAAACTCCAGGAGCCAGACGTGCTTCATTAGCAGGACAGGACTGCATTGCCAGTTGCTAGCCCTCTTCAGAGGATTCCTCTACATTCTCCAAGCCCAGCAAAATAACTATCACTGAATCCTGCTGCTTCCATTCTTATTCTCTTCAGTCCCTGCGGACCAAGTTTCTGTTTCTCACTTAACTGAAATAAAATGCATCTGCCAAATGACAACCTTATTTTTATTTCTATTTTGCAAGGGGAATGCCACAATGAGAGCTTACATTTATTCTGAATAAACAGCCCCATTCTGGTTATTTCAACTTTTTCCTGAGTCTCTTCATTCTTGCCCTAAATTGGATCTACCTTTACAAGGCAGATAATCTTATTCTCTCAGGGAATTCCTACTCATGTAAGAATATGCAGTTCATCTAGTTCACCCTGATTCCTTCTTTAGAGTATCTGGAAACTTAGACACTTTGTATTTATCGTGTCTTTTTGAGGCTGCTGGTGCATGGCCTTAAAAATTTCTTTTTTCTTTCTTTTCCTGCCACCCTTCTTGGGTAGGCCCTGTTCACATCATAATAGCCTCATAAATCATCCCCAGGTTTACCATACCCCCATATGAAAAGCATGCCCTTGCTCGAAAATCTTCATTTTGACAGCCATCTCCTTAAGGAAAGACTATATGACTTTGTTTCCCCTACTGTAACCTGTATAATGCTTTACACACAACAAATACTTATGAAACATTTACTGATTGATTTAGCAAAGTGAAATATCTAAATTAGAATAGCAAACATTAGAAGATATACAACAGTAAATGCATTTTGTAGAGAAAAATGTAGATTAAGGGAACCAGAGTGGGGTTTAGGTAGTTGCATGGCAAAGATAAAACAGTCAGGCAAAATTAGTAGAGCATAAAGTTGGCTGAAAAGGCAAAATCCCAAACTAAAGGTGAAATAGTGACATTAAATTTCTTCCATGTCAAGAAGCAGCCCAAAAGAGTAGGGTCCTTAAATGTTTTCTGAATAAGAAATACTACAGGGAAACTGTCTTCACGATGTGAATAAAACAACTCAAATTGTTTGAAAGGCACTTCAAAAACACTGGTATTTTCCTTGTCTGTAGTTTCCTTTGAAAAGACAGTGAAGTTTTTCATTTCCTTATTAACTCTTGCTTTGAAATAACTGGCATTAAATTGTTAAGCATTCTTGATTGGCCAGATGGTTGGTTGGCTAGTTGGTTTGCAGAGGACTCCAACTCTTTGACTTTTGCTCTTTGGTTAGTGGGTTTAACTGAATGTCTTAATGTCTGTGGAGCAATCTATTCTCCTGAAAATGCTGGCAACCCAATTGTGTAAATCTTCCCACCCCAAAAAAGACTTCTGGAGGGCAGTTTCTGATATTTCAGACTATTAATATGAGAACCAGTCTTCCAAGGCCTAAACATTAGGAAATGTAGGTCTTTCTGTTAAGTTTTCAGGCTGCCCATGAAAACACATGAAAAAACTTTCTGAAGTTGCCCTGAAAACCAGTCCATATACTGCAAAGACAAAGGCCTGGAACCCAGAGAGGACTGAATGTGGTACCACAGGCACCAGATGCCCCTCCCACACACACCATATTCACTAGTGATGGACCCTTTGAAGCCACTCCCCCATCTCCAGAAGAAACCACAGACTATTTCTCCCTGACAAATGGCACCATCTACTGGAAAAGTTGAAGCTCTACACCTGTAAGATATTTGAACACATAATTGAAACCTACACAGCTAATAATTGGGAGACAGTAAAATACAACAAATGACATCTTGAGTCTTCAGGGGGATATTGCACCATACAGAAAGAACAAGTGTCCAGAAATCAAACACAGAGACATGGAAAACCTTTTCTTTCCTTCAGATACATAATTCAAAATTGCCATAATAAGGAAATGCAAAGAAAAGGAAGAAAACACAGAAAAGCTGTTCAAAAATATACAAGAAAACTCAGAAAACCAAATGAATGTCCTGAGAAACAAAATTAATGAACAGAAGAGCAAAACTGAAGCATTAACAAAGAAAATAAAGGAGATGCAGAACATAAAAAGACCAATAAAGGAGATTTAAAAATTCTGGAGAAAGCTATTGGCATAGAATAGACCAAATAGAAGAGTGAATCAGTGACCTTGAAGATGATAATGCACAAAGAATCCAGGTAGAAGAAAGAGATATATGAGGGGGGGGGGAATGAAGAAACACTTTGAGAATTATTCAACCCATTAAGAAAGGCAATATAAGAATAATGAATATCCCTGGTGGTGCAAGGGGTTAAGACGCAACCTACGAAGGTATCTGCAGCCACTGCAGCATGAGTTTGATCCCCGGCCAGGGAGCTACCCATATAGACCTCTCCTGACTCGCCCGCTGCTTCCCTCAGCAGTGTATTTCAGTCAGTCTGCCTGTTCTGTTCCCTAATCTGTCTGTGGTGAATCCTCTTACCCTCCACACCTCTGGCCTGTACCCCAGTTCTTGTATGCATAAATAAATAAATCTTATTTTAAAAAAAGAGTAATAAGTATCCCAGAAGGGAAAGAGAGATAGGAGAATAGAGTTCTTTGATAAAGAAATAATAAAGGAAAACTTCCTGCACCTAGAGAAAGAATCAAATACACAAGTCTGTAGCTAAAAGAACACTTCATTACCTAAATGTAGCAAGACCTACTCCAAGACACATAGTAGTGCAACTTCCAGAAGCTGAAGGAGTTTGCAAACACTAGACCTCCTTTCTAAGAAATGTTGCAAGAATCTCTCATATCTAAATCAAAAAGAAAAACATTCCCACACACAAAAAAAAAAAAAAAAACTGAGCAAGGAAATAGATATTACCAGAAAATTAAGGACAAGTGAACTTCATATATCAAAAATCACCCTAAACATAAGTGGACTGAATTCACCAATCAAAAGGCAGAGAACAGCTGGTTGGATCAGAAAACAGAATCCAACTTTCTACTGCCTCAAAGAAATTCACCCTAGCTATAAAGATAAAAGTAGGCTCAGAATAAATAGTTGGGAAACCACCCTATGTGCAAATGGGGTGCAAATAAAGACAGGGACAGTAATACTCATATCAGATAAAACAGATATCCAGCTTTAAAAAAAAGTGACAAGAGACAAGAGACAGGGATGGATAATACATAATGATTACATCAAGAAGGCATAGGACTCATCAATATATGCTCAACAAAGGAAGGAGCATCAAAATATACAAGGTGATTATAAGGCAATTACTACCAAATCTGAAAGCAGACACTAGAAACAATACATTAGTGGCTGGACACTTCAATTCCCCACTTGCACCAATGGACAGATCAATGAGACAGGAAAAAAACAGGGACTCAATAGTCTTAAGTGAAGAATTAGAACACATGGGCTTAAAAGACATTTACAGTGCACTACACCCTCAAAAAGACAAATACAAATTCTTCTCAAGTGCACATGGGACATTCTCCAAGATTGACCACATATTTGGTCACCAACCAAGTATAAATAAGTTCATGAAGATTGAAATCACACCAATTGGGCTAATAAAGAAGTGAAAGAAGAAATTTTAAAAATACCTTGAGACAAATCACAATGAGGACACAACCTGCCAGAACCTATGGGACACAGCAAAAGCAGTGCTAAGAGGGAAATATGTATCAGTACAGGCCAAGAAACAAGAAACAATTAAAAAAAAATCTAATATTACACCTCAAGGAACTAAACAAAGAAGAACAAACAAAACTAAAAGCCAGCAGAAAAACTACAGCAGAAATAAATGACATAGAAATTGAAAGGACACTACAAAAGATTAATGTGACCAAAAGCTGGTTCTTTGAAAAA